TGTTTATCATTGTTTACCACTGTCTATTTATGTTTATCACTGTTTATCATTGTCTACCACTGTCTACTTATGTTTATCACTGTTTATCATTTTTTGCCACTGTCTACTTATGTTTATCACTGTTTATCATTGTTTGCCACGGTCTACTCATGTTTATCACTGTTTAGGATGATACAAGAGTTCTGTTCCCACACTGATGTTTACTAAATTAACAGTAAACTCTGGAGTTTGGCTAAATCATTGGTCTTAAATCAAGCCTTATCTTATTGTGAGACCACTAGTCTCACATGCACCGCCCAGACCATTCCTCACCTGCGTGGGCTGCGCTGGCTGCACTGAGGCGAGACTATAGCCGCCATAGCAGCAAGAAATGACTACAAAAAGCAGCTCTCCTTCTCTCTTGAGTCTCTTCACTTCTCCATTGACTATCAGTAATAATCTATTAAGATATATATAATAATTATGTTTTATAGATCAACTTATTGATGTACTTGATCTGTTAAAAAGATGTGGTTTCCCTCAGATAAGATGGTATGAGCTAGGACTGAGACTAGGAATACATAAAGACACACTGGATGCCATTGAAAGGAATTATCCTGGTGATGTATCTCGCTGCTTCACAGAGTGTCTTTCCAAGTGGTTGTCCAGAGCTGATAATGTTGGCAGTAAAGGAGGAGCTACCTTTAAATCACTGTCAGATGCTCTTAAATCTATGAATGAGAATGCTGCAGCTGAAAAATTAGATCAAGAGAGTAAGTTATAGTCTAGTGTTGTTTCAGTTAATAATAACTTAAACCTAAAACCTATTTTAGTGAGCTGTTTTCCTTAACCGTTAAGACTAAAACTAAAACTCAAATTTTTCAGTGCTTATAACTAAAACTATAGTGCTAATCAACTATAACTAAAACTAAAACTTTAATTGTGCATTACATTAGCTAAAACTAAAACTAAAAATTGCACACTTGTAACAAATTAAACTATTGCAGTATAATTAAGCACTATACCTGGCACTGTACTGTTGGTCAGCTCGTTTGGTTCATTCACTAGTTCTTAATTTTGATGGTTTAATTGTTTTTACATTATTGGAAAGAATTTGGTGAATTAAACTATAACTAAAACTAAAACTAGAAGCACTGGAAGAATAAAACTAAAACTAAAATACAATTTTGAAGTGATTACAATAACTAAAACTAAAATCATTACTTAAAATTATAGAAATAGGAAACTAAAACTAAAGTAAAACTATTGTACCATACTAAAATAACACTAGTTGGGGCGAGCCTGAGCTCGCCCCACTAATTGGGGCGAGCCTGAGCTCGCCCCACTAAGGCGAGAAAGCGTCTGTATGTATGTATGTATGTATGTATGTATGTATGTATGTATGTATGTATGTATGTATGTATGTACGGGCATGATAGGGTCGTCTAACTATCATTAAAGTTAAATAGCCTAATCTTCAATGAAAACGGGTGTGGTCACAATGAATAAAATGGCGGCCATCAGCAAGTCTGAGCTTATTTGCAGCAGACCATAGGCGGCTACAGAATCTTGAATTAACCAGGGCTCATTAATTATTCATAAGAATTGGGGGTGTGGTCAATTAATAAAATGACAAAAAAAATCATTATGATAGTTCCCAAAAGCCAGTTACCACACTAAAATAACTGTAAAGTGGAGCTGATCATTAGTGTAGACAGTTGTGGCTATAAAAAATGAATTCTAGTGATGATATCACTCCTAATAATAACAAAACACACCCTTTGGGTGTGGTTTTGGTTGAAAACTACCAGGGCAAAGCCCTGGCTTGCCCGGGCCTATAGCCGCCTATGCAGCAGACGGTCAGCAAGATAAGACTAAACTGCTGTCTAAGAACTTCTCTAGCAAGAAGAAAGGTTGGAAAAGCAGATATACAGTCTTTTCCTTGGCATAAAGGACTCTGCTAAGTTGAATGCAAGTGAGAAAGCTGCATGTACTGTACTGCTATAGCTGCTTGCATCATGACATCTATTCTAGGCCATGTTTCTTCTCTAGCAGCAAGCCTAGGCTAACAAAGCAGATATACAATCATCAAATACGATTTCTTCAGTGACTGCTTCAAACTATAAGGGGCCGCCCCTTAATGCATTGCATTTTCCCTAGTAAATTAATATCACAGATTGCATTAGTATTGACTGTGTGTGTGTATTCTACTTATTCGACTGTACTTAGTCTTATACTGTGTTTACACTAGCTTCTTTAACTGAGCCAGCCCTGTTTAAAGTTGGCCAGCACAGTTTCATTTGATAGTGTAAACAGTAACTAAACTGAGCTGAAGTGAGCTGGGCTAAACCAGGCCAGCATGGTTATACTACGTTTACACTAGCTTCTTTAATACTGTGTTTACACTAGCTTCTTTAACTGAGCCAGCCCTGTTTAAAGTGGGCCAGCACAGTTTCATTTGATAGTGTAAACAGTAACCAAACTGAGCTGAAGTGAGCTGGGCCAAACCAGGCCAGCATGGTTAGTACAGCAGGGCCAGCTCAGCACGGTTTGGCCCAGTTCCATAGTGTAAACGTAGTTTTAGTACAGCAGAGCCAGCTCAGCCTGTTTCAGCACAGTTTGACCCACTTTTGTAGTGTAAACGCAGCATAAGTGTATTGCTGTGTTTACACTACAGAAGTGAGCCAAACCATGCTGAACCAGGCTGAGCTGGCCCTGCTGTACTTATTATAATAATGATTATTAATATTATTTCATATTATTGTAGGTATTCCCATCATTCATAAAACCAGATCACTGGCTTATATTTCTGTTATTTTTTTAGCTTTTTCCTCTTTTATTATTCATTATTATTTTTCTATTTTTATTTCAGTCTTATTAGAATTATGCATATTTTTCATTATAACATCAATATTATATTATGCAGTATTCTCTACTAATAAAAGTGAACCAGACTCATCTATTGCTCCAATATTATCAGGTAACATTATATTTTATGACCATTATTATTATGGTGGTTATTAATCATAATTGTTGTAATTAGCATTATATTTTTTGTTAGGTCCATTCTTTTTCAATGCAGCTCATAAACCTATTTTTAATGAGATCAGAGGTCATTTTGGAATCCTTCATGATAAGATAGTTCCATTGATATCTCAATCAAAAGCAACAGTGCCAAAAATGAAGTCATTCCTTCAAAAATCCTTTCCTGAATTGAGTCCTGACCTGTCTAATGCTGATAGTATTGAAGACATTATGAATGTTGTAGTGAAGAATTGCCGAGTGAATGACATTTCAATAATAAAAACAATTGTGCTACGGTTTGAAATCACTGAAGCAAAAGATCTTATAACAAAATATGAAGACAAATTGAAGACACTTAGTGGATCATTGAAAGACTTTCTAAGTCAGAATCAGCCTGAACATCTTAGTGATTCCAATACAATTCAGTTTACTTTGGGATGGGAACCAGATGAACACTCACTTGATGACATACGTAATCTTTTAGAGGAAGCATTCAAAGAATTAAACAAGAGGATTATCGTACGAAGCATTCATCGTGGGAACTCCATCATCATCATTTGTTATGGTCCACATCATTTATTAGCTGCTCTTCTCTTGGAAGCACAAGACAACCTAATTGTCTTGATGAAGGAATTCAGTTTAATTAGACTAACCATTGGTCACTACATTGTCTATGATAAAAGGATAAGATACAAAGTATAAGATACTGTAACTGTATGAGACCTTGTTTAATATTGTGTACTAATTACAGGTAATGAATGAGTGTTTTGCAGAGGAGATTAAACTAGCTGATGGAGAGGAACAAGAACTGAGGACTTTACTTGATTACAATGAAGGTGTGTGAGTTGATCTATTTGATGTTACTTATATTAATGGTATAGGATCAATATTTGAACAAGATAAACAACTGAATATCATCAAAGAAAGAAAAGGTATATTAGTGAATGATGAAGATATTTTATTACTGTATTTTTGCTTGTATCATAGAGTATATTGAAAGGACTCTACAGACACAAGGTGTAGTACTAACTTAAAGCATGTATTAAAGTAATGTGGAGTTGATAATCATTTGAACAATCAGTACAATTATCTTATAAATTAACTTGTGAAATTCTGATTGTGTCATTACTGTAGAGTCTAAACTAAAAGTGAAGCTACTGACTAGAGGGAAGTTGATGAATAAAATATTCAAATCAAAGAAATCAGAGACTCAGTATTTCCGAAGCTCTCTCCTAATGAAAGCAGGTACTGACTCTACTGATATTTTGATCTTTCTATACTCATCATAGCAAGAGAGGAGGCATTAGTGAAGTATAAGAAAGAGATTGAGTTAATTCAAGAAAATGTATCAAAAACTAGTGTACAACTGCTGATGAGTCAAAAGGGAACAGCTTGCAGTAAGCAATTGAAATCATTTTGATCATTCACTTGTATCTATAGCAGAATCTGTTTACATAGCTGTTTTTGACTATCATGCGATAAGAAGCTATGAAGTATCATTCAGTAAAGGAGAGCAGCTGGAGATACATAGCAGGGAGGGCTATTGGTGGAGAGGAAGATCCTTGGTGTCTGGTGATGAAGGATACATTCCTAGTAGTTGTGTTTACTCAATGTTGGAGTCACTTCAATTGTTAGAGTTTATACTGTCATTGAAAGAAGTGTCCCTTCCTATTCTACAGAAGATAAGGAATGATTTATCTAGCAATGATGAGAAAGCCTCTCTTTTCTTGG